CTGTCTTTTCGCCCGTGAACCCAACAAGACGGCCTCATGAACCACCTCATCGTACCTTGCTGATTATTCCTTCCCCTCCGCCCATCCTCCTGCCCCGTCCTCCCGCCTGCCTCTGGTACGTCCTTATGGCTGCGCGGCGGCCGTATATCAACACCAATGCCGAGGGCGCAACGATTGGGCGCTACACGAGCTGCAGTCCTTGCATGAGCCCCTGGATTTCAAGATACCTCGCGCGTTGCGGTTGGTCGTACTGTTTAGGGTTTTCAGTTCCGCATTTTGTTGGGAGCGTGCAATCATGTCTGCCTGGCGGTCTGCTGCGACAGCAGCAGTAGCAGCAAAGCAGTAGCAAAGCAAACGATATCATCCCCTCCCGCCCCACCCCACCTGTTCCCCGAACCGCGTACCCTCCTTTTGACCGGCGGCGCTTGGCGGTATCTACGGTGCAAGCACCCTCCAGATGATACATGCGGTAAGTCGGCGATATGGATCCGTGCCGTATCGTGGCGTGTACTACATGTTTCGTGTCGCCGTGCCGATTGTGTTTTCCTGCGCCGCGTATCGCGTGATTATGCAGTCGTACTTGGCTGGCGGTTGGTGGCAGCAGCAGCAGCAACAGCAGGAGCAACAGTAGCAAAGCGCAGCGGAGCAGACCCCTTAAGGAAAGGTGTCCAGCCCTAAAACAAAGTCCGGATTAGCGTTGCTAGCCACCATCCAAGCATGATTGCTGTGTATCTCAGTATGTGCCTGTGTTTAATGACCTCGTTGTGGGAAACGCTGCCCGTCGCGGTAATGGACGCCGCGCACTCGCTCCACAACGACGCCTTCCGGCAACTGCTGCCACGGTACCGCGGATATGAATGCCATACGGTACGGTGCGGTTCCTTACAGTAACGTACGTTGCGGTACGGGTGCAAGGGTTTCAAATAAAACCTGCAGTAGCATGTCGTAAAACACAGCAGGATTCCGGAAGTGGTCTCCCTGGTAGTGGCCTGAGTTCTCTCTCGCTTCCCTGCGCGGGAGTGCACTGTCTGTCTGTCACCAGGGAGCAGTTTTTCCGCAGGAGGGCGGGTGGTGCATAGGAGGTGAGATAGAGAAGGATAGGAACGGTTGAGAAGCGCCAAGGCCTCGCCGGTGTCCGTTTTTAGTAGTCCCTTAGGTGGAGCTGCCAAGAGCGCACCACTCGCCAGCCCCACCTCCGCGTCCGTTGTTCGTGTCGCTATTTGCGCGAAGCGGGACTTTGCAATGCAGGGCCCGACCACCGCATGCTCGCCTGATGCTCGTACGGTGGGTTTCTACCCGCTCAGGTTATGGGCTCGCGGACGGGTAAAGGAGGTAAGTGCGCTGTTTCTAGGAAATGGGACGTTCTCTGACGCGCTTGTGTTTTCCCTTTATCGTTCTTCCCTAGGTGGCAGAGGCGCCTGGCTCCGTTGTCTTCTTCCCGAGGCTCGTGTTGGTGCTGCTGTGGCGGCGGCGGCACCCCGTCGTGGTGCTGAGGGGGGCTGAGCACTTCACTATTACGAGTGTCAGTATGTGCGTTGATTTGAGTTGAGGGATGTGTCCAGCAGATTACCAATCTGTTTCGGCTGTACGGGCGATTAACTGGTCGGTTGCTATCGGTTGTGGTGTCGTGACTCTTCCGTGTGCCGTA